CACCAAGTGTGGAGACAACTTTGTCAACTGTGACAATTGAAATGTGAATTGGGATGTATGTCAAATCGTGAGAATACGACTCCTCCAATTTGGTGTGTATCCAAAAAGTGATTTTCCAATGAAATTGACGCTTTTGGAAATGTGAATGACACAAATCCACACTTGTAAAACACCTCATCTTCTATCACACAAAGACACTCTGGAATATCAATTTTGGACAAATGGACACAATTGTAAAAACACTGATTTGGCAATCGTCTGATGCATTTTGACAGTGTCACTTCCTGGAGTTGCTGATTGTAAGAAAACAGCTGTTCTGTTAGATTTTTGATGTGATCAGGCACTACAAATGTCTCAACTTGTAAATGGGAATCAAATTCAAAGCCAAGCGTATTAACACATTGTGGGATATTTAAAGTAACATCATTGTTTTTAGCGTCTTTTTTTGACAAACTGACATTTTTGAATACCACATCATATTCACTAAACAGTGTTTTGGACTCTTGCAAAGAGACGGGGTACCACACAACAAGGCGGTGAATATCAGGTATTATCATGTCGTTTTTGGTATATAAGTGCTGCATCTCTATGAAAGGAAAAATCTTTATATCAGAAACAGATATCGGATTATAACGGAAACGATCAAGTAATAATCGGTATTTCTTGTTGATTAACACAGAGTTGATGAAATCACTTTCAAAATAGAAATACTGTGAGACTATTTGAAAAGAATATATGTCGAGTTTGCTCATTATTAATTTTTAAAGTTTGTTTAAGTTGGTTATATTTGTTGTTTTGAAATTCAACATTTTTAATTAAATAAAATTTTATATAAATGATTTTGTATTGGTAATATCATTTAAATTTATTATAACAGTTTTTAAATGATTTGTAAATATTTTGATATTAAAAATTTCTTATTTTTTCCTTATAAAATTTAATAAGGTGGTACCAGGGTCTATCATGTGACAAAAGTGTTTTTTCTTTGTTGTTTGCCACGTCACCAAAGTGGGCTTGAATTTATGTTCACTCAGTTCTTTTAGATCTAGCGGCGAGCTTAAAGCCGACTTTTGTATAAGAAAAAACTTTGAAACAGATAGTTTTTTTATCAATACTTGGCAAAATTATGGGAAAACAAGCCAATTCAATTCTTAAATATCGGTTTTTATTTTATAACCGCTGTGATTGCCATAATTAACACAAAAAAATGTGACAACTGCAGCACTGTTTTACACGTCAACCCGATAGTTACAAATAACATTTTAATAACACAAATAACAATGAAATAACAATCTATTAAATAATTGCATTTATATTAATAATATGTAATAAAATGTAATAAAATAAACCTATTCAACTTAAAATAAAACCAAAAAGTTAATAACTAATAATTAAAAATGCTATATAAAATTTAATAATAAATAAAGGTTTATTTTCATATTTATATTTAACGTTACTAACTAAATATTTATATTTAAAACTATATTAAATAATTACAATCAAACTCAAAAAATCAAAATATTTGTTAATTATTAAATATACTATATAACATATGATATCAATACTATTGTTTTAAACTATACTAAATGAAATAATGTATTAATAATTAATTAAATTGTTTAGTACATGAATTATATTTAAAAAACTAAATATAAACTTATAGTTCAAATTATAACTTAATTTATTTTTAATATATTATTAACTATACTAGTAACAATAACCATAATTAATCACAATACAATTTCAATTACAATACAATAGCCATAACACTAAACTCAATCAATTCATAACGATAATACAATGTAATCACAAAGAGTGTAATGCTCATAGACATTAGGCGATGTTCAAAGACATGACAACACACTCAGAGAAGAAATGTAATGATCAAAGACATAAGATAATACTCAAAACAAGACAGACTACTCAAAGACAATAAAGATTATCAAAGAGACAATGCAATAGTCAAAGACAAAGCAAATGATTCAGGGACTGTATAAGATGTTCATGAATCATTAGAGTGACAAGTATTAATCTAATTGTTAATTATAACTTATTTGATCTGATGAATAATAAAACATTAATAACATAGTGTATTTATCGAGATAAATAATCAAATAAATATACAATGATAACCACCAATTGGTCTATTAACAATAGTAATTACAACAATGATAACAACGGAATTATAAAATACATCAATATTAAATGTTATGATAATAGATAATAGAACAAACATTTTGGCGTAATCATTAAAATTTTAAATTAAAAAATTCCAATATTTTAACAGTTAAATTTTAACAAAATAAACTATATCAATAATATGTTAATTTATTATATTAATTTACAAGAAAAAATAGTATAAATACTATATAAATAATATGTTTATTTTTAAAAAAACTTAAATAGATAATATTTTATTGTTTATAGAGTCAGTCTTTTAACGTTATCTAGTCTCAAACGTGATCTGGTGGACAAAAATAGCTTTAATTTTGTCTAATCATCAGGCAATGACGACATAACCGAGTCGGTGATTTAATCTACAGCTTCTCCGCAGGCATATAATCGTTATGTATGTTTAATCATCCAGTTCAATCTTTCTTTAACTACGCCTGCATGATTGTCTAATTCGTTGTAGAGCAATTCAGCCCAACTCATAAACATTGTGACAACTCCCCATAGTGGGCTTACTTCACCGACTTCTTTTCTTTCATTATTCCACTTCGATAAATAGAAGTATGAGTCTTGTGGATATCTTGCAAATCCGTGTTCAAGTTTGGTGTTGAACTTTTTGATGTTATCAAAGTGTTTTTTATCTTTATTTGATCGGTTACAATGTCACTAAACGCCATAGTTGCAGTCGATGTGTCGATGATCACTTTCTGCTTTTTGTTGTCCTGCCAAATGGCTTGGACGAAGTATCCTTTCTCTTCATTCCACAACAATTTCTCAAATGAAGTTGATAGGTCCTGCGTCTTTTTTTAGTAATTCAGCTCTTTTAGTATCTTTATAATACTTCTCTTCCATCATAGCAGCCGCCAACAATCTGTGGTGGCCTTGAATTTGTGTGAATCGATAGTAGCGCAGTGGGACACTTAAGGAAGTCCATGCGTCGCTGCTTTCCTCCCAAATCGAATAGTCTTGCTTTATAATATGGTTCCAATCTCGATACAACAAGAAATTCACCAAATTTCTAATTCGTTGTTTGCTGTTTGGTCCTTGATTAGTTCAGTTGTTTGTGTCATTTGTGTAGTAGTAATAAAAATACAAAGCAACACCAATTGAATCAAGCTGTGGTTCAACAAACACCACATATGTCCCATCTTACCAGCTGTACGTCATTGCGAAAAATTCACCGTCTTGAAGCTCCGCTTTTTAAAGCCACTTCAAAAACTTTTCTGTCGCTACAAAACTCGGTTTTCGTATGACAGAAAACTGAGTTTTTTAGTATGAACATTTCAAACGTTTATTACATTTAACAATAAATATTATATTTTATTATAATTTAAAACGAGCCAGATTTTTTTTCACTGACTTGTTTTTATAGTACTTTTATATAATATTCTTTAACATTTTATAAATAAAATCAATAATTAATATCATAATGTTAATTTAAAATATTTAAATTATGATCTTTATTAAAACACACCAACAAACAAACTGACTGACAGTTTTTGAGTAAATTAATTACTTATAAATATGGTAAATATATGATTCGATAATAGCTTTGATAAAATAAACAAAAAGACTAAACAATAGTATGAAAATAATTGCAGTAGTTTTGTTACAAACACTCTGTTTACGCGTTAATGATGAACAGAGTAGTTTCACTCGTTTTTTGCGAATAATAATTCTTCTGTTCTATCAAAGTATTGCACGTTTATAAAACAACCTAATTTTATCAACAACACCAGGTATCATGATTCAATGTTTTGTAATTGTCCATTCTATTACATTTTTACTATATTAATTTGGTATATTAAACTATTTGATGTTTGAAAGTGATAAAAAGCAACAATAAATCAATTTTAACAAGTAATCGCAAGGTGACAGCTATGTTTTAATTAATTTTACTTAACTTTGTTAAAAGGAAGTATAATTAATAACAAATTTTATTTTAATTAGTTAAATTATTATTTCATCGTTATTAAACAATTTCTAATATTTTATAATATTATCAATTATAATTATTAGTTTTATTTTATATAGTATAAATATTATAATAATAAACCATTTATTTGTATACTATACATTTTAATATTTTATAGTTTTGTTGTTAACTGTCGTTTTAAGTAAAAAAACGACCGCGGCAAAAAGTCGCCATCTGTAAAGAAAAGGTTTTGGAGATCGTAAAAACAAACATAACTATGAATTTTACTAAAACTACTTTATTTTTGGCACAAAAACAAAGAAAATATACCCCTTTTCATTTTAAAATGCATTTTTGGGACAAGTTCCAAATTTTTCCCTGTTCCGTGATAGACCCCGGTGGTACGTTCTTATTTGGTTGTTTTTGTCTTGTAAACAATTGTTTTTTCTGATTTTTCTTCAACACTTTAAATAACATTGAACAAAATTCAAGTGGTTTACAAATCGGGGAAATATCGAGTTTATTAAATAAATTTCCGTTTTTTTAGAGTTTATATTATGTTCATAAACTATACACAAGCTAAAAAAGGAAAATCATCAAAAATTGGATTAATATCCCTGAAAAAACAGGCCAAAACAAAAATAAGGGCGTTATTTTAAGTGTTAATTTTTATAAAAGAAATAAAATAAACAAATACAAATAAATACAACTTTATCATTTAAGAATGTGTTGATAAGAATTTAAGCACCGAACAAATGGATTTAAAAACACGACCATTTGGGTCATAAACTATGGAATCTGATGGAAAACATTTATAGCCAATTTTAGTGTAACTTATTGGTATTGTCACTCTGCTCAAATTGCTACATTTACTAAAACAACCTTCACCAATTGATGTGACACTCGATGGTATTTCAATATTACTCAAACTAACACATCCACTAAAACAATAATTACTAATTATTGTCACACTTGATGGATTAACAACATTGCTCAAACTGACACATCTATCAAAACACTTTCACCAATAAATATACA